AATGATATTTAGATTTTTTTTCGTGGATTATTTCACTAATATTTGAAATTAATTTTCTTCATATTGATTTAACAAAGCAGCAGCAGTGTAGACTCTTGCTTTTCAGTATACATATTTTAATTGGGCACTTGAAGTAAAGCCATTTATGGAAGAACGCTTGCCTAGTAACGAAACGAGACTCATACTGAAAGGCTTTTTACGTCAGCAGACTCAGTGAAGAAGAAAGGAATATAAATTTCAAACTGAAATGTGCAAGTCCTCGTGCATTTGCTAGTACATGCTTGCACTAGGCAAAAATTGAATTTTTGATGAGAAGATCTTACTTTGAGGAAAGAGAAGAGTGCGGAACATATGTATGCTTGAGAATTATTTTGCGAGTTTTGTTAAAGACATGTAGGAAATTTGCCTTATTATGTATTCCTCAACGGGTGGAAAGTCATTTTCAAAGTCACATTTTACTCATAAGCAAAATATGCTTGTTAAGGTAAATTCTTCAATGATTAAAAAAGTGGAGCAACGGTTTTGATTGGGTAAGCAGCAGATTTCGAAAAATTTTGAGTTATGAACAGCAGGCTTCAGAGACCGGCGGTGTCAGAAGAGATGTAAAAATCACTACATAAACCTATTTCTTGTTTTTCGCCTACTTTTCTCTAAGTGAAACTTTAAAGTTTCCTGTTAAAAAATAATCCGAGTGAATGTTAAAGTATATTTCGAATTTTGAAAAATGTCCCCACTATACCGTTACACATCCATTTTATATGGAAGAATTTTCTATGCTTTTGATTTTAGTAAAAAAAAGTGAGAATGTTGAACATTACTCCTCTGGCATATCTTCTCTCCCGCAGCTATCTCTGACAATTTTTTAGGAAGGAATTTTGCAACTATAATTTGGGCTACGATGAGCTGAATAAACATGCGAATATAGCAAGCGGAAGGAGTGTTTTCGCAGCTGCTCTCACCAAGAGCATGTAAGCGATCATTTATTCCTACGGTGATGAAACATAAACAAAATCAAATGCGATTAAAATAAATGATAGGATGGACTCTAAGTGCAAATGGTCATTACAGTTCTGAAGGGTGTAAACCCAGTTCTGCGAGAATTTTTTCTGAAGAAAGGAGCCTCTGAGTTGTAGATGAGGAACTAGCTTTGAAAATAATTGCGAATAGTTGTGAAACTCTTGGTATGTGCGGATGCTCAAGAAACGACGACTGGGGCAGTCACCTAATCGCTTATTTGAACTTTCTGATAAAAAGTGTAGGAAGTCAAACAGCGGCGTAAAAGTAACACTGTTTGTGTTGAAATACCATATCAATTATGATTATCGGATACCGATAGAGGGTAAATTATGCAAATTACTCGGCATCCTGAGATAAGAAAGTTGGATAAATGATACCCCACTCTACAACGCTTCATCGTTATCAAGAAGTGAGATGTGAAAAACAGGAAAGCACACTTGAAGTACTCGTAATGAAGATCTTCCCAAAAGTTTTAGTCACACCCCTTGATTTGATTCAATAGTCCCGTTGTTCCAAAACCTCGTTACGAACTCCCTCATTTCGTTTCATCGAACGCCGCTTGTGTGCAAAAGCAGCTGCCCTTTGACATAGGAGAATCTGAGCGCCTTTACAGCGACGGCCACTTTAATGACCGATCGACCGAGTTCAAATTTGCAGCTTCACATTATAGGCAGTCCAGACTAATCTAGATACTTGGGCTTCTTATGTGGAAAGGAATTGGGAGGTCCTAAAAAAGGCATTGCCCAGGCAGCAAAACATAAGATCATTCGCGATCGAAATATTCAAATGCAAACTCTAGCCCAGTACCGTAGTCGAGGACGATGATTAGCCCCCTCTTAGAAAGGATACGGTACTGGGCGGGATTTCAAAGCTGAATTGCTCTGGCACGAGAGATGCAGTTTGGATAGCGACTCAGTCAAAGCTTTCAATTATTACTATCTAAATGACATTCAAACCCAGATCTACCCGGATACCAATTTGGAAGCCAAGAAAATTATAAGGATGGCTCTAGCAGAGGAAGTCATTACTTCTGCTATTAGCAGAGAGGAGACTGACGCAAAACAGGTGAAAAATTTACGTGCATGCGATGGAGGCGGGTGGGGGATGGGGGTTGGTGGGAGGTTGCATGTGCTGATCTTGCAATATTTATGGCAGGAAGTCTATTTATGTCGAAAGAAAATGTAAAATAAAAATTGTGACAGTAAAAGATTTTTTTTTGTGTGAGCGAGGAGGTGGGCTGGGGGGTGGGGGGGGGGGGGAGAGGGAGGATGAGCGGAAAATATCTAGTAACGATTCCTATCATCAACTATTATATAAATCCAAAATGATAGTTATTGATTACTAGCACTTGAAAATATGTTTCCTGCATAGCTCTGAAAATCTTTTACAGGGTCTCAAAAATTTCTGCTCCTACTCCAAATTCTTTTCAAAAATATATTTATTGGCTTTTTCACCACTGGCTTTACGATTAAAAAGTTTTTCAAGCCTCTTTTTGCTTCACTCATTCATACACTCTTTCGAAAAGTGAAATTTGAGTAGCCAGAAGTTCTGAAAAATTTGCTATTTTTTATAGATGTGAAGAAATAAGAATGAAAAAGGAGTCTAAGAGGCGAAAGTCGCAGTTTTTTCTCCGCCCTGATATCCAATTGCAACCTGTGCCGCTGATCCGAGGGAAAACAGCTGAGCTGAGGGTGTTCCGAGTAAAAAAAAATTTCAGTACAGAAGAAATGAAAGTTTCGTCTTGCAAGTTGAGCCCGATTATAAAAAAAATCTTGCAAAATATTCCTAATTTGTTCAAAGAGATTGTTGACATGGACATAATCATAGCAGAAAGGCCTCTATGAGCATCTTGATGTTTACTTAGAGTCTGGGAATTATTTGGTTATTTTTAGCCCTTAAATTACATAATGAACAGATTTAATTTATTCCATATGCTCCTCATTAAGTTTATCCTATGCACTTCTAAGGAACCGCCACTTCAATGTGGCATAACCGTTTTGAGCAAACTGATAGTATTACTAGTGAACCAGTAATCAAAGGTGCTACACTGCATTTGCGCGCTTCGGGTTTCCCGCTATTTGTACATTTTTGAATTGCGCTTACGATTCTTTATATATTAAATTTATTCACTTGAATTTTTACTCTTACGGACGTATTTTTGTTATTTATAAGCCATACTTAGGATTAACAGCCGTCATTTCGAAACTGTTTCTCAGTAATTTTGGAGTTACTTTGATTTTTTTTATTTACCTTTCAATTTAACTAGCTTGGCGGCTGGAAGGCGGGGCTTCGTGACCCAATTAAGGCTGAGTAATGATCAGAGAGCACGCGTGCGAGAGAGACGCAGACGGCGTAACGGGCGCGAGCAGCCTCAGTCAGTCACAAAGCCTCGCTTCCAGCCGCCAAGCCTGTTGAATCAAAGGTTAGGACTAATCCTCTTCAAAAACACTGCTTCGATTCGAGAGCTTTTAATTTTGAAGATTTTTTTGAAAATGGTAGCTTTCAGTTTAATTTTGAATAAGTTTACTTTTCTACAAAGCATGTCTAGCTTTTGATAAATTATAGACTTTCAAACCATCGGATCAGCAGTTTATGCAGCTTCTAATCATTTGTCAAATTTCTTGCCGACAAACACATGTTGTTGTTTTTGTATTGTGAAAAGTCCATACATTATCAGGGTATTTTCGCCGTCATGAAGAAAGGTAACGAATTCCTCTCTGATCCGCTGCAAAAAATGTTCGAAGAACATTTCTCAAAATACAGAAGAGTGGGTGGTTTGCAGTGACATCAGTAGACGGGGATAAGCGACAGGTAAAGATGAAGCTTGGCAGGTGCAGAGTTCAGTTGCTTTGGGATCACGGACTCATGTCAGAAGCTCGGTAGAAGGGGGGGGGGGGAGAGAAAGATTTTCATTTCTGGTTTTATGAATACTTAAAAATCAAATTCATTCAGTTATGGCAACAAAATCGTTTGAAAGATTCTCGCAGAACCCGTTAATATTTGCAATGCACCTTGAACTTGTTTTTATAGAGCATGACATTAGCAGAACCCCGTCATCTAGAAGGGATTAGATTACGCTCCCCCCCCCCCCTTCCCTTCCAAAAAAAGAAGTTTGTGGGACCCCATCTGCTGAACGGTACACCTATCATTTTATAGAAGTTAAAAAGTGGTATAGACCCGGTAAAATTCATAGAACGTTCGAAAAAACATTAAGAATGAACGGAATTAAAAGGTGCTGTGGGCCTAGCAACCATCAGTTCATTCAAATTTCATCGATCTAACTTTTCATTTGATTCTTTCTTCTGTGACTCAGCAAGAATTCGGGTTTCTAAAATAGAAGTGTTTTTATCCGCGATAACAGAAGCCATGTAAAAGATTAGCTGTTTCTCGAGAAGGATCAAAAAACTTCATGACTTTGGATTAGAATGAATAATAGAATTTTCTATTCCGATATCGATAAACAGCTTTGAGGATTGCAGAGATTTGGTTCCTTCAAAGTAAGGATAATCTTATTGCAAGATAAGGATTTTATTTACTTACATTGATTTCAATCCAAGAAAAACCCTGATTTCTCATTGCTCACAGTTCGAAATTGTATCAGTCCCACCAGATTTTCTCAACCGTTGTCTCCCCTCATCTCCCCAAATGAAGAACTAACAGTACCGATTCATTATATTCAAGATGAGAATATTCTTCGGTAAAGCTTGCTTCTGTTACAAGAGTTCCATTTTACCTACGATACACCTTTTTTGCCAGAAAATCTCAAACAGCCCAAGTTTCGTTTCATTCAGCATCATTTAACGAAAGCACCGATTTGAACTTGTTTTATTTTCAAAGCGAAAATGCAGTAAAAAAAAGGCCAAGCTAAGAGACATGTACTAACAACGAGTTTTATACAATAGAAACTGTTGTAAAGCAAATTTTGGAGACTATGATTATTTTTTTTCTTGCAAAAGAGAAATATGCGCAGAAAACGCACTTACCCGAGATGGTGTACAAACCACCGCAATCGCCAAAAACCGCGGGGTCCATCACTTTAGACGGCATCACAGAGACCAGAACAAATACCCAGGTGGACGAGATTCACGTGGATAGTCACAGTGAAAATTCCGAGATCAGAGCGACTGTGCCGCCTGTTCCCCGCCCTTCGATGGTTTTATGCAGATTCGTCAGCACTTTTTTCTATTGACAGGAATGCTGTGATCCGCGGCAAGAGAAAAACTGTTGTGCAATTGTGTCTAGTTAAGATATCTCACGAACTTCTCCTGGAGATCCGTTATTTATCGTAAGGCTTGACTGCCAAGTCATTAAATACATAACTTAGGTTATACAACGCTGTGGTTCAAAAGTGTTTCTTCAAAAAAAAAATAAATTTGTGAATTAATTTGTAAGAATTTCTCAACAGTTTAAATCAAACCTATTTCAGATTAATTTCAACCGTCAAAATTTGAAAAAAATTATTGCAAAGTGTTCTAATAGTCGTATCAATTATTCTTTTGTGCTGAGCTGTACGCAGTACGAAAGAGAATTTTCAACTCAAAATTCTATTTCATGTCCTTGGAAATGTTTTAAATTTATAATCTTTTGATACACTAATCTTCATTACTCCATTACTCACTTTGTAAATATTTTCCAAGCTCGTAGCTCAATAACTACCTACAAGGAGACTTTTACATTTCGCGATAAGGTTTTTGGATTACTATATTTCTGATTGAGAGCGACTATTGCCACCATTGTGAAACTTTGGTTATCATTTCTTACAAAAAGCAGCATTAACGCAAATAACTCATTACACAATTAGTAGTAAAGGTGATAAATTATCTCTAGCTCTTTCCCAAGCTGCAAATGATACGAAATGATAATGAAATACGAAAAGTGCAGCAACATGAGAGAGCAGGGCTAAGGCCTGAATTGAGATGCTGGATCTTTGCAAAACAAATCTCCTTTAACTTCACTGCACTATGCGATCGGACCATGCTTTTCATCCGAAGCTAGAACTCACTTGAGCTGGGAAAGTAGCTATAAAAACAAAACCGATAAGACCCGTCCTACTACTGATAGACGATGCGTCTGGAAAATCAAATAAATAAATGGAAAGTTATGTAACACTTTGAGAGGCTTAGCTTAGCTCCCAAAATCACAGCTTTGACTGAATACGCAGGACGAAATAATTAAGTTTTGATAACGTTTGAAACAAGACTATTTTTAGAACATAAATGACAAGAACTTTGACTAAAGAATTTAGCTAAATTTCAAAACATTCGCAATGGTTGATAAAAAAAAACATTTCGACGTATTTTAGAAATTTTTGGCATTTTTTGGTTCAGGTCGCATTCTTTGAGCCACAAAGTGTACCAAAAACTTGAGGAGTTGTTTATAATCGATACCTTCCTTACTGTTGCAATCCTCAGCAACGAAAAAGTAGATCTTGGAGGTAAAATCTCTGGACATTGGTTTTTTTTTCGAAAATAGGCCATTTGGAGAGGGGTATTAATGAGTTTTACCCAAAATATAATTGGGTTTAGACGGAAGCATACTTTGCTTAGAATAACTGCTCATGAATCAGAAGAATCATAGAAGTTAAGTAGATCTTGTTTTGAATAAAAAATTTAAAAAGCTGGTCATAAAATTTTACGGAGTTCTGCAAGAAATTTCACAAAGAGTTTTGTGATGTTTTCTTTATATTTACTTCTTACTTTGCATTAAAGATGTGAAATAGATCATCCAAGATATTTTATTAGTGGTGATTACAAATGTAAGAACAAAAGTGATTTCATTTACAAGTTGGCAAACATACAGCCAAAAAATAAGGTTCAAGACCAGATATACCACACATAGAGACTACTTAGGAGGAGAGTCTGAACCAGCATGTCGTCGACTGTCATGCGTAGTGTGCAATTACACGCATCAAGAGAGGAACGTTTTGACTATAAGAAATAGGTAAAGAAGTTTTTGTATGCTGATGCAAAGACCAGAGGTCTTTTTTAAAAATATTTCTGCAGTATCCAAGTACTACTTCAACTTTTACATACGCAGAAAAGGAAATAAAGGTTATAATCATACCTCGCTATATTGGCCACAATATAACCCTCAGGGCAATTACATTAATAAGCTTTACATCAAACACTCACTAATCTTGTTCACCAGCCTTTTCGAAAACCTCTTTAGCTTCTGACGTCTGTTCAACTTTACCAATTTCTTGGGAGTTGGTAGTACTTTACGTAATTTGGCCATTTTTCTGAAATCTTTACGATATAAAACTTATAAGGGAATTATGCATAGAGATCTGGATTCAGAGATTTGGCTTCTAGCCAACTTCAGAAAGTTCTAGAGAGAATTATATGAGGCTGGCCAAGCTAAAACTCGAAAGATGAGTGAATGTGGGAAGTGCGGATGACCCTCGAAAACCGCTCCTCTGGGGGTTGGGTAGAAATAACCCGGTTACGCCCACCCGCATGATCTCTTCCTCACCGGTAATCACATCCGTCTCAGGTGCAATTGCACATTCTCGTTTGGCAACCAGCTGTTGAGCAGCGAAGTTCTAGTGCACAACACACACATAATTTGACGACGACGCGCCGGGTTGTTATCGCTCACCTTTGATCTATCTTTGAGATTTATCAAAGAAAAATAAACATTGTCATTAGGTGGCGCTCGTGACATAGACAGTTGGTACTTGAGGGCGAAAAAATGTCGGAAACTTCCTAACCGACAACACAGTTTCCAAATTCAACTCCAAAATTGAAGAAAATTCAGCTAGAAAAAGGTTTTATCTATAGAATTTTCGAAATCGGTTCTATGGTTTGTAAGGACGTAAGCAGTAAATATTTTCCAAAATATTCAATTCCGTAAGTTCAAAATATGCGAATGACAGCTGAATGATTCTATGACGCAAGAATCTAGGAAACAATTATTTAGTAATTGAAGAAGTGGCTTGTACTGATACAAAGATCATCCTGTACTAAAAACAGTTTCTTTTTTTCCGGAAGCTTATTTAAGTTACATTGTTACATTCCCAGACATTTTGACATTTCGTTGTTAGCGGATACTGCTATATACATTACACTAGGAAATGTCAAAATTTGGATTTAAAACTAGGATATATATGACATAGCTTGGAAAAAATGTTTTTTTAGGCTATTTTCAGGCCGTTTTTTTCCAGGCAGTTTTTTAGGCTCTAATGATGGAGCATTTGATAAGACAAAATAAGTATCAAATGAAATTTGAATGTGTACAGGATTCATGATTCACCTAAATTCAAAACTAAGAGAAAGGCAATTTGTGCCGCCAAATCTTTGCCTCAAAAAATTACATCTAAGTGACTGCCATTTCGGACCAGTACATATTTTGCAATAAGTTTGAGTAGTATTTTTTGGCCACTGATGCGTCCCATGGTTTGAAGTGTTAATCTCCTGGGAAGTATTCCAAGATATGTTATATGTTCTCTGGTTATGAAACCTGAAAAAAAAAACTTATTCCAAGATATTTCAGAAGTTTATTCAATTTGCCGAAAAAGTTTCATCGTTAATTAGCAAAATCAAATTTTCAGAAGCTTACGACCCACCAGTGGGTCGTATTGTCGTGAATGTGTTAGTATAGCCCGCACTTCAAATTTGAAAATGGTGTTATATTCTTGGCGAAAAGCATAAAAAGAATGGAAGCTAAATTTCTATAGCTTTATGCGCTACTCGTCCACATATCGTGAAGTACCGTAGATTCTTGAGATTTCAAACCTGAAACTGTAGCCTTATATGTGTTCTAGTTTCTGAGATATACCTATATATATATAATTCTGAAAATCCGAGAAAAAGACATTGTTCTTCCTAACTTTATTTTCGGTGAATTCCACCCAAGGTAAAGACATTTATTAGGTAATGGATTTGACATTCTATAGAATAGTAAAGCAACCGTGTGAATATTTTTCTTCACTTTCTTTTTTCTACTTTCAAATGCTGAAGTTTTGCTGGATTTGAAGTATCCAACACTGATTGAACAAAACTGAGTGTCCCTTATCAATGATTGCTTTGAAAGGGGATTTGGACTTCAATCTGAAGAGCTGATGGGATGCTATGAAATGGTAGTTTAAATGGGACCTTTTCCCTCCTTTCCAGGAGTTCTTCCTATTTCTTGCTTCAAATTCCTCTGCACATAAATCGACCTTTACAGTCCAAACTTCCGAATTTTCAAAAGTTTTGCCTAATTTTCGCAGCAGAAAAAAACAAAATATTAAATCAGCCTGCTTGAGAAATTAGCGATTTCTGAGATTTAATGCGTAAGCATGCCCTCCAATTACAATTTGTAACAATTGTTTTGCACTTCTAATCGCATACCTCGCAGCTGTCGAGATCATACTTTTTATTGGAAATTTATTGCATGTTTTCAATTTCTGAGACTTTGAAAGAATCATGGAACAATAGTTTTGCAATCTTGAATTAGAAGAAAATTCACCATCTTTCCGTCGTAGAAAGTAGGGGTCTGGAAGATGTAGAGAGGACATCCGTATATTTGTCTACTTCTTGTGCGTTTGTTTTTGAATCAAATAAAAAAGTCAAAGTGAATAACCCTTTCTCTTCTTTTACATCTCTTTATCATCTTTCTCTACATCTTACATATAATGATAAAAACACCATGTTAAGTAGAGTTTTTTTTCGCTTGTATTCATTAAAAGAATGGAAAAATGTAATTTGAGAAAAAATGACGTCAATCAAGGTGTGTCGTGACGACTTGTTTGCCCTTATTTCTCTTACAGGGTTCTTTCTGCTCGTTAATATTTATTTAGCCTATTTGTGACAGGTTTCAATTATAAGATAGTCAGATATTGACAGCGGCTCTAACAATGTTTGTTAATACTTTTTCCTAAGAACAATAAAAACATGTGTAATTGCACTCTCCATACACCGCACCTATGTTTAGCTTGTTATTTATCCATTAGAGTGTAATAAATACGGATCAAAACATCACATGCGTTGCTCGATGATCCGCAGCTACGGAAGACGATTGCTGTACCCTTGGAATGAGCCTGGACTTAGCACTCTCTCTGTCAAGATATCGGATAAAGATGATGTCAGGGCTAAAGTAGCGGATGACTACTGTAACGGAA